AAACAGTTTCCAAATGGGTTGCACCAATGTGCACTCCCACCAACAGTGTTCATACTGGAGTTTGGAGTCTACATCCTTGACAGCCCTAGATATAATGAAACTTTATCTTCACCAATCTCATTAAGTGAAAAATGGTATATCACTATTGTTTTAGTTGTTAGTTTCTTTAATTATGACAGAAGTGAGGCATTTCACACATCAGATATTTATATTTCTATTCATGTCCTTTGTTTTCATTTTTCTTCTCTACCCTGTCTTTTGTCCTTTTATCATTGGTTTGTGTATGAGGAGACTGGGGAGGAAAAACTCTCTTGGACACAGGAGAACTAGAGGCAGAGACATGGCTCAAGGTTCCCTGGGCACTGACTCTATTTTCTCATCTCAGATGAAATGACCTTATGCTGATATGGACTTTAGTTCAAAACTCAGGAAGGCTCAGTGTTTATAAACACTCTTTTCAGAGGAAAAGTATAGATGGCTCCATTGAGTTCTTCTAGATATCCTGAGTACAAAGGGTGGTGTATAGACAAAATACAGCTGGAACTTGGCTGTAATCTCACCTCTGGGATGGTTTTCAAGCATGGCAGGGGTCAATGGCCACTGTGAAGACTGATAGGAAAGCAGAGCCTATAGGAAAGCCAATGATATGTTGATCCACAACTGCTCTGAGAAACATCTCATTTCCATAAGTGTTTACATTCTTGACTAAATAAATGAGAATTTATAAGTGTGTGTATGCATGGGCATTTGTATGTTTGTGCGCGTACATGGGTGTAAATCTCCCATTTTTAGCGATTTTTCAGCAATGTGTAGATTAAGGAAATTAAAAGCAGTCTCTTGTCTGTCTTAGATATGGTGAGCGTTTTCCCTGTTTGATATTTTTACCTTTTGTTTGGTTTGGTTTGCATTTCTGTTTTTGCTACATAAGAAATTTAGCTTTTATACTCTCAAGTCTACCAATCGTTCCTAATAAGCCTATCTGTGACTTGTGCCATACTTAGAAAAATCTTCCCCATTCCAGTTTAAACAAATATATCTGAAAGGTACAACATAAAAACAAAAGATAAATAAAAAGAAGAGAACATAAAGGAAGAGAATCGATCCTTCAGAGACAAGCATGATGTGCATCAAAAAAAAGTCCCTAAAGGCAAACACAGTATAGGGTACAATGCTAAGAAACCAACTTTACTAATTATCTCCAAATCTTTTGTTACATAAAGAGAAAAAGAATACACTGGAAATCTGACTTTGGTGTGGTAGACTTTGACATAAAAGAAATTAACTGTGTATATCCAAGGGGGAAATATCCCAACCACAGTATTTCAAGTCTGTGCTTAATCCTTGATCACCTAACTTATGCATGAAATACTGTGCCTACAATTAGGATGCTTTCTTCTCTACTCCTTTCTTCTTCCAACTGAAAACTCAACTCAGACCAGGAAAAAAAAAGATAATTAAAGGATACCCTCATAGTCACTACCTACCAATGCCATAGCAACGGTAACTATACTAAAGGCTTGGAAAGAATTCATCTCACCAGCAACCTCACGTTAGAGATGCAATTATTCTTTTGCTCTTTCTACTAGAATTTCTTGCTTGAGAAGAGAAAGGGAAAGGGCTGAAAGGCGCTGAAGGTTGATCCTAAAGTTTAAAGAGCTCCAATTAGATCAGGATAGTCACCACTGGAACTAGCATGAACTCCACTGGTTTCAAAAATCAACTCCGCTTTTTTCCTTCATAAATTTCTTAGTCAAAGTTTAGTTCATATTCAATTTAAGGTTACAATTAGTAAAGACAGAGAGATACTGATCAAGTATTTTTATTGACTGATCAAAGTGCTCTGCCCCCATTACTCAAACACCCTATCTCCAACACTGGAGATCAAATTTCAACATGAGATTTAGATGAGACAAATATCCAAACTGTATTACCACAAGTAATCAAATAGAAAATATGAGAGGAAAATAATATTCTATTCATAATTATACCTAGTAATACATCTGTGCAAAAAAATGTAAACATAGCAGCCTTATACCACTATTCTTAGAAAGGCTTACATTTGGGAACTTCGGTAGTTCCCTATATTGATATAAAACTTTCCTCAAACGATAACAGAGGTGCACTACACCTAAACTTTTTTACAGTGTGGTTTGGTACATGACAGGCAGAGCATGTCTATATGACTAGGTCCAGTAATAACCTTGGTTACCAAGTCTCTAATGAACATCTTTGGTGGACATCAATTCTCCCAAGTTGTTACAACTTGTTGCTGGAATGATTATGTCCTGTGTGAGTGATTCCATTGGGTGAGGACTCTAGGAAGCTTCCTTTAAATTTTATTTCCTCTAAATGTTGCCCCGTAAGTGTTTTCCCTTCACCACTAAGATTTCCCTTCCCAGTAAGATTTTGCTTCTGCCCTAATAAATCTTAACTGTAAGTACAAATGCATGCTAAGTACTGAGAATCCTAGCAAATCACTGACTCTCAGGGTGATTTGGGGGACGTCCCCTCCCTACAACATCTTTGTGGAGATAATTACAAAATATACACTGGGGGACAAAAAAGAAGACCTAAGTAAATGGGAGAGTTACATTATGATTAAGAATGGGAAGAAAGGCAGCCCACCCACACACTTTACATTATTCATATATTCAATGTAATTTCGATCAATATACCTGCAGGGGTTTTTTTTTATGGTTCTTGGTAGGTCAATCCTAAAACCAATATGGAAGAGCAAAGGACCAAGAATAACCAACTATGAAGAAATAGGTGGTAGAATTTCCCCGACCTAGTATCAGGAATTATTGTCAAGCTACAATAATTAGGCAGCAGGAACTATATTTCAAAGGGACTACTGATAGAATTTGACTCTAAATTTTAGAGTCACTTAATAAAAGTCGAAAATAGCTAAGACACTACTGAGAAAGATGAACTCTACCACACAGTTTTATAAAGCTACAGAAATTAAGGTGATATCATATTGATACAAGGATGGTGGAAGAGAATAGAAAGCCTCAAAACATATCCACCATATATGGGAAAAATCGATACTTGACACTACAAACATTGGGAAAGAATCAATAAATGTGCTAGAACAAGAAGTTATCCGATGGGGAAATTAATTTAAATATCTATTTTACACCATTCTGTATGTGTCCGAAATACTTCCTAATAAAAATTTAGTTTGACTAAATGTATAAAGTCTCTTGTTTTACTGGTAAATCTCAGGCCAAAAAACCATAATTTAATAAATTATTCTCCTTACCAGGACCTCAAGGGACTATGCACTTACTTAAGTGGCATATAACCTCAATTTTATATCAACTTTTTAAAAAACATGGCAATCCCTATCAAAATACCAATGGAATTCTTCAAAGAAACAGAAAAAAAATCCTAATATTTATGTGTACCCCCCAAAGACCCAGAATAGCTAAAAGAATCCTGAGCATAAAGAACCAAACTGGAGGCATCAAACTACCTGACTTCAAAATATGCTAGGATACTCAACAGCAGCAATCAAACCAACATGGTACTGGCATAAATAGAGACACATAGCCCAGTGAGACGGAATAGAGATGCATGTAAATCCACGCATTTACAACTGACTCATTTCTGACAAAGACACCAAGAACACACAACAGGGAGAGGACCATTTTTAATAGATGGTGCTGAGAAAACTGAACAAACCCCTATTTCTCACCTTATGCAAAATCAAATCCAATCAACATGGATTCAAGGCTTAAATCTGAGACCTGAAACTATGAAACTGCTAGAAGAAAACACTCCAGGACATTGATCTGGGCAGAGATTTTTTTGTGTAAGACCTCAAAAGCACAGGCCATCAAAGCAAAAATAGACCTGTGGGATTATATCAAGCTATTAATAAAAATCTTCTATATAGCAGAGGAAATAGTGAACAAAGCGAAGGTACAACCCACAGAATGAGAGAAAATATTTGCAAATTCATCTGACAAGGGATTAATAACCAGAATATATAAGGAGTGCAAACAAATCAATAGCAAAAAGCAAATAATCCAATTTTTAAAATGGGACAAAAAAGGAAGACATACAAATGGCAAACAGATATATGAAAAATGCTCAGTATCACCAATCATCAGGAAAATGCACATCAAAACCACAATAATATATCATTTCATACCAGTTAGAATGGCTATTATCAAAAAGACAAAAAATAACAAATTCTGGCAAGGATGCAGAGCAAGGGGCCCACACATACACTGTTGATGGGACTGTGAAGTAGTACAGCCTTTATGGAGAACAGTATGGGGGCTCCTCAAACAACTAAAAATAGAACTACTATCTGAGCCACCAATCTCCCTGTTGGGTATATATGCAAGAGAATGAAAAGCAGCATATCAAAGAAACATCTGCACTCCTGTATTTACGGCAGCACTATTCACAATAGCCAAGATATGGACTCAGCGTAAGAGTCCATTGACAGATGAACAGATGAAGAAAATGTGGCACATATACACAATGGAACATTATGCAGCCATGAAGAAAAATGAAATCCTGCATTTATAGCAACTTGAATAAAACAAGAGATCATATGTTAAATAAAATAAAGCAGGCACATAATGGCAAATATCACATATTCTCACTCATATGTGGAAGCTAAAAAAAAGTGAATCTCATGGAGGTAGAGAATAGAATTGTGGTTACCAGAGGCTGGGTGGGAAAGAGGAAGGATAAAAAGAAGTTGGTTAAGGGATACAAAGATACATTACATAGGATTAAATTCTAGAGCATTCAGTGGTATAATAGGGAAATTATAGTTAGCAAGAATTTATATTTTAAAATAGTTTGAAGAGAATCATAATGTTCCCAACACAAAGAAAAGATAAATGTTTGTGGTGATAAATATCACCTGACTTGATCATTACATACTGTACCCAGGCATTAATATATTACATATACCCCCAAAATATGTACCATCACTATGTATCAATAAAAAACAATAACAATAATATGAATTTTACCTCGTAGATTCTGGCAATTCCGCAGAGTAGGGTTACTTCTCCTGGAAACTTATCTAAACCTTGTTTGTAGAGAGTTAAAGCAGTTACAGGTTGATCCAAAGAGATGTAAACCTAAAAGCAAGACACAGTTCAATAAAAGTTTCAATTCTTGAAACAATAGTATTTGTTGTTACCAAGTTTATAATTATTGATTAATAACAAATTATCTTTTAGATATTACAGTAAAAAGTTTTCAGAAATGTGCAGGATTAATTTCTAATAATGATGTTATAGACTTATCTCTACTTGTTGTTATATGATCCATTCATTCATTTATTCCACCAACAAATGCTTATTTGTGGGTTTACTATTGTCAAAGAGACTGGGCAGGAACTAGACAAGGATCAAGGGAAAATCTTTTTAAGATAGAACACACATGAGTTTGTCTATAGCAGTGTTTTTCAACCTTTTTATCTCATGGCACATTTGAACCATAGTCAGACTTCCACAGCACACTTAGATTATGTTAATCAAAAAAAAGTAAAAAAAAAAAAAAAAAAAAGAACATACCATTTTTCATTTATTTATTAACACAGACAAAATGTACTATCACGGCCAAAAAATAAAACAAATCAATATATTACAATTTGTAATAAAAAGGTAACAAAATTCTTTTAAAAACTTATTTCTATTTATTTTTCTGTTTATTATAATTTAACATGTAATGAGATATCTGAGCTCGACTCTAGCCATGATCAATTTTTGTTTTTAATATTATTCTTGGCAGAAAAGTTCACTTTACACAAATATGACATTGAGAACAGAAGAAGTATTTCTACTGCTTTTTTCTGTAATATTTAGAAATTCACCCTTGAGAGATAACCAAAAGGTTGTTGAATATTTTAACTGCAATCCTCTGTCATTATTTCTGTTAACTTTTCCTCTTCTATAACATTTAAATTCGCTGATATAATGCACTTAAAGGATTTCACAACCAATCCAGAGACATCATGTCAAGTGTAGATGTAGGAAAATATTTTTCAAAATTTGTATACAATGAATCTAAAGTTTGTAAAATTTGTTCAATAAGATTTTTACCCAGTTTACACTTTTCATCAATTCCAACATTTCTATTGCATTTTCTCTTTTAATCCTTTTCTTCCAGAGCAGTAATTTTTCTCTGAAAGCATTAATATTACATGTAGATATGAGAATACTTTCATGATTTCTCTTCGTATTCTTTTTTATTTATTTATACATATCCATGTATTTACTAGGTTTCCACTTTTTGCCTTCACAAAATCAAAAAGGCTTAAAATTTAACAATAACAATGTTTAAGATAAGGACTAGAAACAAAAACCTTGTAAAGAATGAATGAAGATAAATACATTCATAAAAGAAATCAGATGATTGCTGCAATGAAGTATTAAGCAATAATAATAATAGTAATGCAAAGAAAATAACATTAGCATTGCCAAATAAGAGTATGTCTATTATAGAATGCTTTGACTCTGCCGATCAGTATAGAGTCATCAATTAACTTCTTATTATTTTTTTTCCCAGAGTCTCAAAAAATAGACAATATTGATAAATAAAAAGAAAAGATAATTTCAAAAAACGGATCATGTCAAATCTTATAGACAACAGAAAAAGAAGAAATACTTCAAAATCATTCTGTTTAATTTGGATACATCTGATATTAAAATTGGAAAAAATATATTATTATAAAGGGGAAATTACAAACATAATTCACTTCTAAATGAGGATGCAGTATCCTAGACAACATATTAACAAGTTCAGCTAAAAATTAATGTTTAAGTAATGTACTTTGGTCAAAATTGAATTCAATTTATGTGAGAATTAGTCACTATTTGTTTGATTAGTATTATTGAGTGCAAGTTGTATGAAATATTCCACTAGCTTTTTGGACAAGTGGGAATGTTTGGACTGTAAATGTCTCTTTAATTTGCTAGGAACCATAGCTTCATTTGCTAATGTTTCGCCACAAATTATACATGTGAGGCGTGGTGGATCTCCTTTACTACACATAAAACCAAATGATAAATAATTTTCATTATATTCATGATATAAATGACTAATTGTTTTTAATTTAGTTGCCATTGTACTGGGCGAAGCTGTATTTGACATACCAGCATCATCTTCTAATTTTTGTTTCTTTACTAAAAATGTGTCCATTTTAAATGAACACTATGTAATAAAAATTACCAAATCAAAAATAAGAAAAATAAACAACTCATAATTTTAAAAAAGAAATACAGGTATTAATTAGACACACTTGGAAAATTTTCAAAGCTGGGATTTGTAAGATAATTGTGTCCAACTACTTCACTATTTCAAATCTAGACAGAACCATATGACACGTTCAGTTTAGCTACACCTCCTTACTACTTAAGACACAACCAGGGATTGCTGAGTCATACGCTTCATTCACTTTGGATTATTTTACCAGTGTTCATCAGCCAATCCTTGTCAAATCACACCATCTTGAAACCTTATTTTTCAAGGCTACAACCCACCCACTTTAGAAATAAGCCAGTGTTTATTTATTGTAACAATAAAACATTTACCTACTACAACAATGACATACTCATATAATCAATTTTAAAAGGTTTTAATTTTCATTTGTACATTTACTGTGCATTAAACTTCTTTCAAAAATAATTTAATTAATGGTCTTTAAAATTTTTTTTGGCATACCAAAGATCCTCTCATGGCACACTAGTCTGTCAAGGCATAGCGGTTGAAAATCACTGGCCTATACACTGGCATTAAGGAACCAATTAGAGATTAAAGTTGAAGATGTTGGAGGAAGAGGGGATGACACAGGGAACAAGGTATGACAGACAGCAGCAGTGGAGAGGGTGTTGGGGAAGGGCCCCTTCAAAGTAGAGGGCAAACAGGTTTGCGAGGGATGAAGCAGGTTAGCGTTTGATGATTTCCACTTCATCAGCAATTAGAACATTAACATGGATAACGTAATGTTTAACAGGAATTTCTAAAACAGAATTATGATTTTGTGTATGGAAAGAAAAGATTATGACATTTTCCTTCAAGATCTTGGATCCACCTACTAAACAGTCAGATTATACTTTGAAAAGGCTCAAATGGATATAAGAGAAAACTGTTTATAGTATTTATCAGTAAAGTTTGAAATTAGAGAAGTACATATATTTTAAAAAGTTTTTCAATTTTTGCCTTATACCCTTCTATAATGCTTTTTAAAATATAATAAATAATACAATTGATATATAATAATGTATTTAATAATGTTTAAATTAATGATTAAAAATTTTAAGAAACAATGTTATTCCTGAAATCTGCATGATCTCTATTATATAGAAACTATTCCTTCAAATATTAAAGGAATCAGGTAAATTTTACCTCTACATAGTCATCTAGGCAATATGGATTTAAAAAATCAATTTATGGCTCAGCACCTGTGGCTCAAGTGGCTAAGGCGCCAGCCATATACAACTAAGGTGGCAGGTTAGAATCCAGATCGGGCCCACCAAAAAACAAAGACGGCTGTAACCAAAAAATAGCCGGGTGTTGTGGTGGGCACCTGTGGTCCTAGCTACTTGGGAGGCTGAGGCAGGAGACTCGCTTGAGCCCAGGAGTTGGAGGTTGCTGTGAGCTGCGACGCCATGGGACTCTACCCAGGGGGATAGCTTGAGGCTCTGTCTCAAAAAAAGAAAATCTATTTATGAAAAAATAGATGAAACTACATATTTAACAATAGTTAAAATACCAAGCACATTTTTTCCAACCACATGATAAGTGATAGTTAAGAAGATGGTCAAACAATGACTTGCACTTTAATTTCAAGCTATTTCTTTCTAAAAAGTTTACTATGCTTAGAAACTTTAAGAATTTAAGGTCAATATACAATGTGTGAAAGACAAACTTAGGCCAGGTGTGGTGGCTCACACCTGTAATCTCAGCACTCAGGGAGGTTGAGGTGGGTGGATCATTTGAGCTCAGGAGTTCAAGACCAGCCTCAGCAAGAGCAAGACCCCCCATCTACTAAAAACAGAAAAACTAGTTGGGCATTGGGATGGATGCCTATAGTCCCAGCTACTTGGGAGGGTGAGGCAAGAGAATCACTTGAGCCCAAGTGTTTGAGGTTGCTGTGAACTATGATGCCATGGCACTCTACCTAGGAGGACAGAGTGAGACTGTCTCAATAAACAAATAAACAAACAAACGATAAAGTTAGATTTCAGATAGTTTCAAACATTTTTGAAAATCACTATAAACATACTAAGATCAGCAAATGTAAATTATATAGTATAATTTTCATTTTGTTTCTTTTTAATATGTTTTTTATTACTATATTTAGGGATGAGGAGCACTTCCTTTTGTATGTTCTCTTCTTTTGAATCTCCTTTACCACATCTTTAAATTTAAAAAACTCTAAAAGGTACAGCAGATATACCTTATATATAGCTTTATAACCACCACTTCATCTTTTTCTTTCAAAGTAGCTGGTGTGAGTCAAGAAGTAATTTTACTCCAATACTGAAAATTCTAGGTGGCCTATCACTTTGGCTGTGGCTATGGTGGCACTATGCGGTCACAAATAGGGTCTGGAGCTAGGAAGACCTGGGTCTGAATGCTGGCTTTTAATAGCCAAATGACCCTAAAAACTTACTGTAAGTCAAATAATAAAACCAACCTTGCAGGGTTATTGTAAGGGTTAAATTGCATATATAAGGTACATGACAAAAAGCTTTACACTGAATAGGTGCTCAATAAAAGAGAAGTATTATGTTTATTATTATAGAGAAGCTGGGTAATTAAAGACTTACCTAACATGGCAGTACACATAGTAGACAAAAGTGTTGCAGAAAAGGCCTCTCTGGAGATTGTTATGTATGGGGATAGTGAGCCTGTGGTATTTTCTTCTGTCTTAAAGGACAATCTTTCAAAGGACTTTTCTTATTTTTTCATGGTAATCAATTTTTCCAAGACAGTTACCCTCTATATGAATTTAAACATTTATTCTGGGAAGACAGATTTCATTCAAATTTAAAAGATTTACTTACTTTTGCCAAGTAGAGAAAGGTATCTACCATTTCCTGCTGCTTCAGGGCTGATTTAAACTGTTTTTCTGCTTCACGATACATTCCTAATCTATGAACAGCAATTTTAAAAATTAAACATTAATAAAATAAATACTGTATCATACCCTGAGGATATGAATAGAGACAGATTACATCCATAAGAGTAAGCATGTACCAAAGAAGGTAAATGTTGTACACATACTACATTAACACATATGTTTATACAGTTTGGCATAACTTGCCTATGTCCATATTCACTAGCTTTTAGCCCCCAAACGGTGTATAAAGAGTCTGTCTAAAGCCTCCTCACAGCAGAACTAATAGCTGCCAGTAAGCGAGGTCACATCAGTTCACCACCCAAAGAGCTTACGATCAGCTGGACATATGGCAAGTGACCTGAATAAATGCCTAGTCTCCATTTTACTGGAAATACTAAAGGATGACATTTTTTTGAAAACATCTTCTCTGATACAACAGCCAATTTGAAAAATTATCCTTATTTTTACTTAATACTTGCCACTTGAGTAATATACAGTATAATTATACCATTTTATTATTCTAAGAAATCTTTTTTCTTTTCCTTTATTAGGTATCTGGTACTGATTGTCCTAGTCTGTGAATCTGAGATTTGCTCCTTGCTTAAATATGACTGTCCTGATGTCAGTGTCCCCGTCTTCTGCTCAGGAAACATTCTGTTATCACTAAATCTATCATTTGAGTACACACAGCTTTCATGCAGCCTGTCCTTATCAGACCTGCCAGGCTTTCTTGTTACTACTCATTTCTAGCCATCTAAGAGCTACTTCAATATGGTAACATTTTACTTTGTGTAACTACAATCGCAATGACATATAGTATGTTCCATTGTGCTACTTTCATTGAAAGGCTTGAAAGGATAGCTTTGATCATTTTTTATAACCTAAACCTCAAGTATTGGTGTGGCTGATACCCACAGAGCTATTTGAGGCTTTGGAATTAAGGTGATTAAAAGAGATCCCAAAAGACGAGCCTAAAGTTAGTGATGTGGCAGACACTCCACCTCTTCAAAAGTCCCACAGATTTCACAAGGAGTATTTATCAAATGTCATCAAAGTATCTCTAAAATCCTGAAAAACAACATATTTTTGTATATAACATCAATTGAACACAAGTCCTAAACTTGTGACTGAAACAGTCACCTACTTCCGTGAATTCAAATCACACACAAGTCTGTATATTTCTAATAACTTGCCTCTCTCCCAAAATGACACAGAAGAAATTACAATAAAAAGATACATAAAGAACAAGAATACAAAAATGGAAGTTTTTAAAATTAAGACAGAAGGATAAACAAATTAAAAAACAAATGAAAGTGCAACAAGAGATACTGAGCTATATGGAAGCCAAAAAAAGAAGGAAAATATTAACCATATGTTTTTTATTATTGCAGAGAAGAATTAAAGTGTACACCTCATCATAACTTAATATGAAGAGGTGTACACTTTAAAATGCCATCATAAATGGATGACAAAGGAATGAGAATTGTGCTTTCCTTTAATTTTTTAAGATTGCTAAAGGTTTTGCTTGGAAGCTCAAGATTTAAAAATTTGGGCCAGGTGCAGTGGCTCCTGCCTATAATCCTAGCACTCTCAGAGGATGAGGCAGGAGAATCCGTTGAATGTAGGAGTTCAAGACCAGCCTAAGCAAGAGCAAGACCCTATGTCTAGTAAAAATAGAAAAATTAGCCAGGTGTTATAGCAGGTGCCTCTAGTCTTAGCTATGTGGGAGGCTGAGGCAGGAGGATTGCTTGAACCCAGAAGTCTGAGGTTCCTATGAGAGAGGCTGACACCATGGTACTCTAGCTTATGGCAACAGAGTGAGACTCTATCTCAAAAAAAAACTTTTTTTTTCAAATTTGTCTCCAGCAATTATACTCATAAGAATTTAATATTATAATGGCTTAAAATTATCTCTTGGCAGAAAACACTTCCACCATCTAGCAGCAGGAAAAAAATGTTTTAGAGTTCTATGTGAAATATGTAAATAGAAAGTAGTCTTAATTTCAACAGCGGAACAATAAACATCCTTTTCATTCCATTTATATTCTTCATTTTTCTCTCAGTGGTTGAATGACAAAGTTCACAAATACTGAAGAATGCTCATAGTAACAAAAGTCTACCTTTCCTAGAGAAACAATTTAGAATTGTGGAAATTATAAGAGAACTGGCATCAGAATGCTGAGCTCAAAGTCTTGCTCTGCCGCTTACTAGCTATGTAAATGTGGACAAGGCACTGTATCTTTGTGAGGGTCAATTTTTCTCATCTGGGAAAAAGATGAAAAATAGCAATTACCCCTGAGGTGCTATAAGATTTAAGAGAAATGATGTAACATATGATCAAACTCTCTCTTAACTGTAAAGTGCTTTACAGTTGTGAGACATCAGTGTAAATAAAAAGACTTCATCACCAAGAGGACAGGACTAGACATCAGCAGACTTGGTTCTAGTCCCAGGTCTGTAACTAGCTCCTGATGCAAATCACAGCCACTCTCTGGTCTCAGCTTCCTCATTTGAAAAGGGGAATTGTGTCTGATGGTCTCAAAGCTTTCCCATCCCAGCTCTAAACTTGTATTATTCTGAAGGTTCTTATTGCCATCACATGATTGTTAAGTAAATGTTTTCTCAAGTAAGTCAAAGACACAGTTCTCCCTTCTCCATGAGGAAATCTTATCAATATACATATAGCTCTTTCCATCTCCAGCCACTGCTTCAAGGGAAGATGGCGCCATGTCCACACACCTGCCACAGATGATGGTATGAACTGCTTCACCTTCCTGATCAATAGGAATAAGCAGTTAGATGTACAGCACTGAGCCCCCAAAACCCACAACTTCTGCTACAATGTGTTGATTCTCTGCAAGACTGTGGGCATGGAGCCAGCAGCCGATGGGGGTTGTGGTGGTCATGAAGCAGAGATCCCACCAGTGTTAAGCCTGCCACCTCCCACGTGTAGACAACGAGCAAGCACGCCAGGGCCACCCTTAGTATCATCCGGCCCATGATCCGCTAGAACAAGCGCAGCCTGGATCTGCACATAGCCACCACCTGCAGGGCCAGAGTCATCCTGCACAGCCCAAAGTTGGTGATGGTAAAGGGCATACGCACATCCACACCAAGCGTCCTGAGCCCTGTCCCTCCAAGTAATAGTCAGCTGCTAAATATATATATATATATATATTTTAATATTATTTTATTTAAAAATATAAAATATATTTTTTCTTTAAAAAAAAATCCCC